CGTCCAATAGAAATCCATAAAAATTGATCTACGGCACGTGATCTGAGAATTTTTTTCGCCATGGCTAGGGTACTATCCCTACTTCTGGCCCTCCGGAAGAAACTAGCAACTACTTTACCTAAATAATAAAGCATATAAGTCATATATAATATAAACAACATTCGTTCATTTAACCACTTGCCAAATCTAACATGCCCCCTTTCGTATTTCGTCCTCGAATTCTGTTGGTCGGTTACCCAATTGCTGCGGAACGATTGACCGATCCGATTCTTCGTCTTACAACGTACTTAAGGACTTAGCCTTACTAAAACAGGCTAATGATCCTGAGATCATGAAAAAATTATACATATATGAGTACAATAACAAGGTGCTTTCGGAAAAAATGGCAGAAGAATTCTTTACAAAACTTTCTAACGATTTAACAAACCTTCTCGAAACTGGTAAAGACCATGATGTACTAATTGAAGTTGGTCAAACACCGAACCATCAAATTTTCAAGGCCCATTCAATTATCTTGAATTCTCGATGTTCTTATTTTCATGATAAATTGGTTAAAGATGAAAATAATTCCATTATAAAATTCAAAAATTCAAGTATTTCTGCTGTTGATTTTAAAATCATTATTAAGTTAGAATATTTATTCTATTAATACTGAATTATTTCTTTTAAATTCAATAAAAATTTTAAACATTATTTTAATTTATTTAGATACTTTTATGGTGGTATTGTTACACTCGATGAAGTCAATACGTCTACACTCCTTAGTCTTTTAGCCACTGCAAATGAACTTGGTCTTGAAGAATTAACTAATCATGTGCAATCACAATTACTCAAAGAACATGCTTTCTGGATACGTCTGCATTTTTCTCACATTTATAGACTAAGTTTTGAAAACAATAATTTTGCAGTTTTGCAACAATTTTGTAATAATCTTATTGATGAACATCCAAATTTTCTATTTAATTCTGAAGACTTCATAAATCTTCCAGAAAATGCATTGGTTTCTATTTTAAAACTTGACAACTTACAAATGGATGAAGGAAAAATTTGGGATCACGTTATTAGATGGGGAATAGCTCAAAGTCAAGGCCCTGAGCTCAACTCTAGTCTTAATCCTGCACAATGGTCCGATGAAGATTTTTTATCTTTAAAAACTGTTCTTAAAAATTGTTTACCTCATGTCCGATACTTTCAAATTACTGGTGATGATATTATGGAGAAATTATATCCATATTATCGAATCCTTGAGCCTAATTTGTGGGAAGATATTATGGCAAAATTTTTGGCTCCTAAAAGACTTATCACTTCAATCATTTTACCACCTCGAATGCCGACGCAAGATGCTTCGGTTACAACTTTAAATTGTAAGTATGATAAAATTTTGTCTTATTAATTTATATGTTTGTTAATAAATTTTTGTGCATTGTATTTAATTATCAAAAAGATGAAAATGATTTAATTTTGGAATCACGAAACTGTAAGTAAAAAAAATTCAAGTATTAAGAAACTTTCACAGAAATTTAAATAAATACATATAATTATTATTAAATTACATAATTTATTGGAGATTCATAAAAAATTTGATATTTCTAATGTTCAAGCACTCAGGCAATTAGCATTTCAGAATGTAAATTACAAAACAACTATAAAGTATCCATCACTTTCAACGATTTCAACAACAGTTTCACCTGCATCAAATACTTACACTGATAAAGCCAATCAATCAACATCTCTGAATGCTATTTATGAAGCAACAACCAAATTACCATCATGGTCAACAATCGATTCATCTAAGTCAACACATGCAAATGGTAATAGTATCGTTTTTGCTTCAAATTCGAGCCTATAACACTAATCAACATAGTTGATATCTCATTTATTTATCTAGCAAAAGGTATGGTTAAGCAAGATATTTCATCATGGATTTCATCAAGGGGATTTAATCCAAAAACTTTTAATTGCAAACCACCGAATGTAAGCGTTCATATGCATTAACATTAATATTGTGTGAATGATTTAATCAGTATAACGTATTTAATCAGTATAACGTATTATTAATTTAGGCACGATTTTTCGTAATTAAAGCTTATACCGAAGATGATGTTCATAAATCGATAAAAGTATGTTCTTGTTCATTAATTCTATAGGAAATTCCTTTATTCATGATTTTTATAATTATAGTATGAAATTTGGGCCACTACAGAAATCGGTAATCGCCGTTTGGATAAGGCTTTTCGTGATAATGCAGATAAAGGTCCAATTTATCTGTTTTTTAGCGTTAACGCAAGGTATTAGCTTGAATGCAAATAATTACATCAATTTTCTATTTATTCTAATTTTGTTTACGCATATTTATTAATTCTTTCAGCGGACATTTCTGTGGTATGGCAGAAATGCTTACTCCTGTATATTATACAATTTCTTCCTCTGTTTGGGCGCAAGATAAATGGAAGGAAGTGTTTAATGTTAAATGGATTTTCGTTAAAGATATTCCCAATGGCCAGTTGAGGAATATTAGATTATTGTATGTGTTGCTAAAATTTAGCCTTTATGTAATTTGGCATCTAATATTAACTAATGATTGTGTTTAAATTTTGTGGGCACATTACAGAAATAATGAAAATAAACCTGTTACTAATAGTCGTGATACTCAAGAACTTTATCCTGAACCTGGTCATGAAATGTTGAAACTATTCTTCGATTATCGTAGCAAAACATCAATATTAGATGATTTCGAATTTTATGATAAATGTCAAGTAGAAATGCGAAGATAGGATTGAATACAGGGATTAGCGGGTCCTGAAGTGGTGATTCTAAATCTCTAGTACCGTAAAGTGCCGTATACAAGATCCTCCCAAATAGTAGATCCACCATGAATTAGACCCGGGCACAAACCACAAAATCTATATTAATCAAATACGGCTTTTTTTAAATAGCTAGACTGCCTATTGTAAATACAAAGCGTGTATGCACTTTAAAATTTTCCCTTTCATGAAATAACCTCTCAGCGTGTACTAGACCCGGGTCTACTATATGGTTTAAAAATTGGTGGAATGTAACAGACCTGGATCTTGTATATGGCACTTTACGGTAACTTTGATTGAATACAAATTTAATCATATTTCTATAAGCTTTTTTTTTTTATAAACATAAGGGAGATGAGGGTATTGTGGACAGGTTAAAGTTTCTATTAATAAAACTTTATAATTAACAAATGGATTTTTATATAATTTTTATTTTTTAAACTATGCTTAATAAAGAATAAATTATTGCAAAAAATTCTTTATATCATATGTAGTTTTAGAATAAATAATTAGTAAACAATCAGTATATAAAAACCAAATTTTAAAGAAAAGGGAGTATTGTGGACACAGTGAATAATTTTTGATCTACTGGTCCATTTTGGATGATTTTACGACCAAATGACTGTCTCAGTGAGACGAGTCTAACAAGTACAAAATCGTTAAAATCTAATCACGGGATCCCTAGATTTGCAGATTTATTAATTAAATTCAAATATATATAAAATTTTATATTTTGCATAAATAACAATATCTTATGATCCAGTGACCAGAATTGGATAAATTTTATACTGTTCGATTCGTCTTTCTAATGGTATAAATTTCATCCAATTTCGATCACTATATCATAAGATACCTCCCTGTCCACAATACCTCCATCTCCCTTATACTTTGCACTAAAAATCTTTACTACATACCATTATAACATGTAAAAACTTCTATATACACTTTTCACATTATAGCAAAAACAACAGTTCTCATTTTTTTTGAATTTGCAAATGATTAGAATCAGGTTTCAAAGTTAACAAATAAATGACATATTTTGAAAATAAATAAGATTTTTTCAATAGCATTTTTGAATTATAACTTTGAAACCCCTAATTATAGTATACATATGTGATACTGTATATTTGTTACACATCATTTTTGTAATTTGTTGATTATGAATTGACAACTGTTGTTTTTAATCTTTACTGATTGAAAAGTAACTTATAAACTATAATATTATGCATTTTGTTGATAAGCAAAAAAGTATATAAAAGTATATTATGTTAGAATATACTATGTATTTGTAAATTATGATTTGTACAATATAATAGCACCAGGATGTAAGTCAGATTTTCTGAATACGTGATGATCTACAGCAAATTATCCAATGAATAATTGTGATTTGGTGTAACATAACACAATTTGAAAACTTCAAAACAAGTGTTTGCTTTGTCAAAAATTGCTTGTTACTCAAAAAGTAGTATAAGAAACTACCTTAAGTGCTTTAATACAAAGTTTTCCTTGAGCAATTTTACTATTAAAACTTCTCTAACCCTAACCTTAGCATAAACCTAATCTAATCTAAATGAATTTTTTAATTCTCACGTGATTGGAAAATAAATTCTACATCCTGGCAAAAATTGTACAATATAATGATAGACCCACCTAGTATTACCACCAAAATTTTGTACGTGATTGGGATTTAAATTTATTTACCAATATTGAATTAATAATTGATACAATAATGACACTATTTGATTAATAATAATAATAATAATATACATAATAATAAGAATAACTATTTATGTTGAAAAGTTTTTTTTCTTTGAATATCATAAATAGAAAATTCAAAACTTTGTTCATCTTGTTGAACTAGAAAACCCATTATTGCATTTCAAAGTAATTAAAAAACATGTTTTGAGTGTTCAGACTATATAAATGAAAGCCAAAAAAGAAAACGTGAAGATTAAATTTTGTAATATTTGCAAGTGAAATGAAAATATCTAAAATCTGAAGAGCTTAAACATATAGTTTATAAAAGCTTATGGATGTTGAAAGAGAAAGCAATATGCATATAAATCTTAAGATAACTGTAGATATTTCTCGAATAATTAATAAATTAGAAGTAAATAACACTGAAGAAATTTTTGCAAGTTCATTATCACTTGAGATTGTAAAGATCTGTGAAAAAGGAGATGGTTATTCATAGGTTTATTATAAAAAATATAAGAATTATTTACCTATTAGTGTAACTGTCGCTGTGAACTTGAAAGAAGAATAAAAAAAATAAAGTTAAAAGTAAACAATGTGATAGAGAACCAAGGATTGAACATTATGACTGCAAAGAAACCATTATTATTATAATTGATCTATAGGCATTATCTGCATCTTTAGAAGTTTTTGTAATTCACACAATTATGTCAATAAAATCTCACTGGCATATACTAAAATAAGATTACTTATATGAGTTTAATAAGCCACGTATAGATCTTGTTTGCTATATCCTTACTAAAAAATTACTGCCAGTACAGTTGTATTGATTTCAATTACTTTTATATGAACGAATATTACAATCATGATATAAAGAATTCAAAACTGAGTGGAATAAATTAATTACTCATAGCATTAAGAATGTGCAAAAATATTTAACTAATCATCAAAATTGGACATATACTTGTTTTTAATTTTTAAAAAACAGATTTTTATTATACAAACACCTTGTTAATCCTCTTGAGTAGATGGATACATCATTTTTTCAAAAGGTCTATTATTTTTTTTTATTAATGAAAAAAGTTCAAATTTAATCTTATTTAATTTAGGTGCAATAAAATTCTCAGTATCTTTATTTCAAAAACAAAGAAAGCTTTATGAAAAATATTATAAAATCATATAAAACAAGGAATCGAGTACTGAAGATAGTGAATTTGAATATGAAATTTTAAGAAAGTACAAAAAAGCTCTTCATGTTTATAAGATTTTTTTATTATTATTACTATATTTTATATTTATATAAATACAGTTATTCTCCTATACAATTACACAGTTAGACACATAGTAACTTTTTTTAAAATATGCTTATAGAGGTGTTGTGCTTATTAGAGGTCTTTTTCTTATAAATTAAATTATAGTTTGCCCTAAATAAAAATGTGATTACATATGATGTGATTATATGAGAGATGACTATATAGAGAGATAACTGTATATTTTATATTTTAAGCACTCAATTGTCTTGAAAATCTAATAATCTTTCCAAACAAAAAAGATGGCTTTGATGCATTGAATTGAACTTTAAACCTATCCAAAAAATGGTAAATGGTATTAAAGATTTCAAACAAGCAAAAAAGCTTCCAAAAACTTGAAGTAGTTATAACAAAACTATATTTTAGTAGTAGCATTTAAAGTTTATATGTGTATTAAAAAAAATTAAATTAAATATAAATGTATTTAATGTATATTCAGCCAACTCTTTCTGACGATCATTTGGACCACAATTTTTAATAAACTTTTACTAAAAAAAAACACAGTACACTAGTGTAAAGTTGATAACTCTCATGTAAGATATGAGAAAAGGGACCCTACAGTTAGCAGCTATTATTTAGAGGTAGTTCTTATACGCTACCTGCTAACAGCCTCAGAGTTTATTACTCACTGCTTGGGGCATGGTACTTGTTGTTTAGAAGTAGTTTTCATATGCTACTTGCTGACAAGTTTAGAGTTTATTACTTACTGATAAAACTTAGTACTGTGCAGACTCTGATGTATAGTTGATTTTAGTAAAGAAAACTTATGCTCTTTTGGTAGTTTCAAGTGTTTTTTCTCTCTCATATTTTGCTGACCTTGCCAAAATTTTTTACAAAAAAGTGGGCATTTCAGCTTACCCTCTCCAAAAGATCAGCATTGTTTATATTTTCCATTTTCAGACAGACAAAGTAGGACATAAACCCAGAATTGTTTTGGCAATAATGGCTCTACACCATATGAACCAATCGGCACTCTAGTTAACAAACTGACCCGAATCAGATTTAATAGTCAGAAGAAAATTTTAATGATAAGGCATTGCTTTACAACAGAAATATACAAGATTTTTAAATTTAAAAATTAATTTTGTTTAAATTTAATTAGGTATATAATTTTTACAACTGTGTCTGGCACGGGCTATAATAGTGCTTTTATAGATTTATTTTTTTTCTGACTTTTTTTTCTTCTTTTATTTGTTTTTTTTATTTATTTTCTTGTTGCTTAAGCATTTTTTTCTTTCCCTCTTTTATTTATTCCCTTTATCTTTTTTGTTAGTATTAGTTTTTTTTTTCATAAGTCAGTTGAAAACTATGAACCCTTCTGCTTAGGAAGCTAGGTGAAGAAGGTTAGTAAAGGAGGCGATCTTGATAGGCTGTAAATACTATTCAGTAATATATTGGAGAATTCATTTGTAGGGTTTTCTGATATGGAAATAAACTTTACTATAGCAGATCGAACATGGATAATTTGGGCACTTCAGTGTCACAAAAAGCCAGGTTAGTCAATATTTGTAACTTAGGTGGATTATAGATAACTGTAGTCAAAATTGCATTTTTACTTGGGAGTTTAAATATTCATACCTAATAAAATATTGGCAAGATTGCCGAATTGACAAAAAAAAATATATATATAAATATAAATGTATTTAAATATTTTAATTGAATATAATTTGACTTAGAATTTGTAGTGGTAATTAGGGGGCTGACAAATATTAGCTCATTATACCCCCTGGAATTTTTATTTAATCCCACTCAGAGTCAGTTATCTGACACAGTAATACTCACAAAAAATGCATAATTAGGTTTTTGACAGTTTATATTGTCAACTGTCAAAGACCTAATTATATATTTTTATAAGTTTTACTGTGTCAAATAACTGACTCTGAGTGAGATTAAATAAAAATCCCAGGGAGGTATAATGAGCTAATATTTGGCAGTCCTCTTAAGTAAATTTTAAATAATTTTAAT